GTAGGGAATTGTCTAAACTGTTTCATGAGATGGCTGTGGCACAGAGCTGGGTCACAGGGCTCTGGAATCAGTCAGCTCTTCTGCCATGCCAAGAGTATCGGCTCCAGAGACCTGAGCTGCCTCAAGGTCCCCTTCATACACCTCCCAAGGCACATAACAATGTAATTCTATTAATGGAACTAACTTTGTCAAAGCCTTTAACTTGCACTTAGCTCTGTCTCAGGCAGGACAATTGAGATCAGTGTGGCAGCACCTTGGTGGGTCTCCCTGGCTTCTTTTGAGCAGGTCAGAGTTGGAGTTGGGGCATTCTTCTCTGGGGATAGGAAAATACCTACACAACAGGTACTTGCTGTGACACCATAGAGCTCAAGAATCTGAAGTGGCTCCCACAGAGAAGAGTTGCTAAAAGGAGAAAATTTGACTCAAGAACTTTAATTTTTGCTTTTAAACAAACACCTCCTATTCTTTATTCCAGAAAAAAAATCAATGCTTCCAGAAAGGAACATCCTTTTGACCTAGATATTACAAAAAAAAAAAAAAAAAAGGCCAAATAACCTTTATATAAAAGTTCCTGAACAGAAACCTCTATAAGAAATGGGAGGTTACCTACCAATTGGTTACCTACCACCAGGTTCTCACAGCAGCTCATATCTACATGGAAGCAGACTCCAGTCCCTTTTTCCTAACCAGCACAGGCAAGGGATTTTTGTCTATGCAACTTTGTATCAAGGCAGACTACCTATCAGATAAATTTACAGTCAAGGCTTGCCCTTGCTACTGGAAAGGGTCAATGGTGAGAGCAAGAGTGCAGCCAATGGTGTGGACTATGAAGCAACCTGCTGAAGTGGACTAGAGTGGCTTTTAAACTAGGTATGTTGCAAAATCTCAATGAAAAATAAAACCACAACCCATCTACATGCAGAGAGCCTTAAATTTAAAGAGTTTTTTTTAAGAAACCCGAAGTATCTCTGTGAAAGGAGGAAGACAAACTGCTTGAGAGCTTAAATGAGATGAAGATGCTCCGGCAAAGGTGGCAGGCGGATGCAACACTACTGCTAAGAGGAACAGAAAGCAGTGAGACATTCAGCTGACAGGAGGTGCACCACCTTTTACCACTAATCAACACAAAGACTGTATAGGAAGCTGTTCCGATCCATTGCGTCAAGCCAACAGCACAAAGGAGTACCCAGTTCTTCCTCCAGCCGATTCCCAACACCACCTCACTGCACAGCTCCTGCCAGCCTCACCCCTGCTTTGTTCCTCCAGGCCTGTCCAGACTCAAGCTCTCCAGGGTGTATTCTGCAAGGATACACCCTACCTCCCACTTTGAGGGATGAAAGACATATGAAGAAGATCTCCAAGAACTGTTCGTCTGCTAAGGAAACAGGTCAATACTGGTCAAGGTGAAGCAGGACAACTCCTTCCAACAGTAAGCAGGAAAAAGCCTAACAAATCTCAAGCATCTTTTGATTCTGGGAGACAACAGCGCCAGCTTATGTGACATGAAACATCTGGTTGCTTGGATAGAGCCTGCAGCACTTGGCTGATCTTTCTATGAGGGCTTCATGGGTCTACCAGCTAGCAACACAGATCTAGCAGCCAGCTGCACCCAAGGTCAGGGCTCTGCTGCTCTGCTTTGTACAAGCGTTGAGAGAAACCTACTCAGAGAGGCATCCGAGCAAGCTTCACACTAAGTTGCATAAAGCTTAAAGAGCTGGAGCAGTGTCCTGAAGCAGTAGAGGATCTCAGTAACAGGCCAGGCAGCTTTCAGCTTGTTGCTAGGCTAATGCCCTTGTTTACAGCCAGGCAGAAAATAAGTCTAGTAAGGTTTAGCATCATCTGTGCCTGAAGAGGTCTGATGCCACTAGGATCACACGTAGGAGGTGCTGCAAAGTGACTGCCGAACTCTGACCACAGATGTGACTGCACAAATTCTGCCAAATAGCTTAAAAAAAAAAAAGCCTAGAGAAATGCACAGTGCTTGTTTATCCACGAGTAAAAATTACCCTATAAGACCAGTTGTGGAGGACCTTGCTGCACTGACCCCTGGCAGCTTGTCACATTAGGGACTGAGCAGAGCCACATCACCCAGGCAGTGGGAGCAATGTCACCCTCTGCCCAGACCACCAAGGAGCCCCTGCTAACTCATCTTCTGGCAACACCCTCCAGCAGCACTTGGGGACTTGCAATGTTAAAAGGCACACCCCTCTCCCCCCCTCCCCAGTTTGCTGATCTTCTTACTTAATCTGGTCTTTTAAGATGAAGGGAGAAAGCTACAGTTCAAGTTGCCTTAGATAAGTCAGTACCTGGCCACAGGAAACTGCATGCTATGATGCTGCTTTAAGTCAACGGTTAAATCAATAGTACTTCATTATTTGATATCAGTTGACAATCTGGTATATAAATGTGAAAAATTAAATACTTCTGCTTTCTTCCATCCCCCTCCGTACCTCTATCTCTCTTTTTCCCATCCCACTGCCCCCCCCCCCCCCCCCCTAAAGCACAAGTGTGGGATCAAATCTCTCCCTCACAAACTTTTCCCAGGAAATAGGTCTTCTTTCAGTGTAGTACAAACCCTACCTTGGTTAAGGTAGGTCAGGGTTTCTTCATGCAGTTTCACAGCAGGCGATGTGGCTGTGCAGAGGACATACTGAAAGGGTGGCAGTTTGGCATCATTCTCAGGAGACAGCTGTGGTTCTTCCTGCTTGAAGATCGGCAGCGCAAGGACATCTCTGCAACACAGGAGTCACACACATTTAGTTGCAGAGACTTCACAGAAAATCCTAGCCTCGATCTGCACTTGATTCTCGTGCTCCAAAATAATGGAGAGGGCCTCTGGAGAAGCACCAAGTTATGTACTTCTGAAAAAGAAAAATGGGCTAAAAAATAGTTTGGCTTGTATAATATAACAAGGCAACTTGTGCCTCTAGGACATCAGCACTGGACACAAAAGAGCACAGAATTAGCAAAATAGAATATTTCTGATAAATAGTTTGCTTTTAAAACATAAATCATATTTACTTTTCAGTTAAGTAGTCTTCCTGATGAGGAAAAAAATTATCAAAAACAGATTCTTCATGCTTGTGGAAGTACATTTGTTTAAGAGTTCTTGGGTTCTCAGACGAAAGCCTTTCAGAAAAAAAAAAAAAAGGCAAGAAAGGGCATTTTATTTTGACAGCTGAATGTCAGATTTGTAAACCATCTACAAGTAGCAGCCAAGGGTGAGAAGCAGACACAGCACTGATGCAAAAAGGAGACATTCAGGTAAATGACAGCATGAAGTGCTGGATTAATTGGCTCATAACATCTCCTTGCACTCTAATAAACCTGGTCTCAAGGAATTGCCTAGCTCTTGCCAGCACTGGGCTACCTTCATCAGTGCACACACAGGTGCTCAGGAGGAGCTTCACCAGGACCTGCACACACTCCCAGTTCCCACTCCTCTGCAAGATGTTCATGCTGGTCAGTGTCAGACTGACCCCAGCCCACCCTAATCCCCAAGCATAACAGGTATTAGCAAGGCTGAGAGCACAGCAGAACAATTAGTAGAGAGTGAGAAGTCAGGAAAAGCATCCTTATCTCAGCACATCTGATACTGAAGAACTACATTAGCATTTCCCATGTCACTAACATTGCTGATCATCATGCCTACCTACGTAAAACATTAATATCCTTCCAATTTAGGAGGATTATGTTGAACACAGACAGTTCAGAGTAAGAAGAGATTTTTTTTTTTTTCCCCCGCTTCCATTTCCTCCAGATGTGTGAAGACTCGAGATGCCCATGACAGAGGCTGTGGTTCTGCTCCTTTCAGTAATCCCATACACAAAAAGCTTTAAGAAAAATGGTTCAGGAACACGCTAGCATGTACATACACACTCTCTATGGAAAGGGCATTAAGAATTTTTTCCTTGCCTGTTCAGTTAATAATCCACCCTGTGTTCACTCTTAGCACCCACAACCTTGAAGGCTGCCCAGGTCATGAGTGAAATGGTGCAGCGGTTTATAGCAGCTGAAGTTAAAGTGCCTGGTTCAAACACAGGTACTCCTATTTATGGCAAAATAAAGCTGGAGAGCAAACTGCACCATTTCAGATACAGACAGGAGACAAGCAACACTCATCTCTGTTTCCATTTTCTCTTCCAACCCCACTCCCTCCACACTGATTCTATGATACAGTTCTGCATTATCACTAACCCAAAGGCATCCAGCTCCATTTGCTTACTGGCGTTACTGACATAATCACGGCTCTTGCCTAACTGCAGCCATAGAGAGGGTTTTTTTCTCCCCTTACTGATGATTTACAACAGTAATGAAGTGACATAAATGCCTGCAGTAGATTTCTGAAATAGATAGCATTGCTCCACACACACAGGATCTGATACTGCTCCTCAGAGTCATCTCACTCCCCCCAGACGCCAACATTTGCTCTTGGTGTGCTCGTCTGCACAATGCCATGGGAATGCATGTTGCTTTACAGATGAGAACAGGTCAGAAACTCAGAAGACTGAAAACTTCTGCAGTTCTGCAGAAAATGGTGCACAAAATTTGGCCCAGGTTTAACAGTTAAGAGTGAGGAACTTGTACACCTATTCAGCTAAAACAGTTGACAAATTCAGGCAAGGGGACATCAAAATACAAATATCATACTTAACATCAGAGTCTTAACACCCCTACACTTGCTGGAACAGCTTTCCGATCACTGACAACTGTAAACATGGAGGAATCTATGACTTAGTTTCTGGAAATTTTTGCCACATTGAAGCACTGAAGAAGCCACACAAGTTAACATTTTTATTCCTATAACATTTGAACTAAAGGTGAGTGATATCCTTTGCTTTGGATTACACCCTTCTGAAACCTCACCATATTAAAAGTGTTTGGAACTTAGAAGGACCTGAGCAACAGAGCAAGGCTTAAGAGAACTTCTAAACTATAGGTATATAAACCATCAGAATATTTGATATTTGCTCAGCTCTCTTCACTAAAGAGCCACAAATCAAGTTTTGGAAAAAGCAGGCTTTCACAACATTTCCCATCCTTAAAAAAAAAAAAAAAAAAAGGGAAAGGAACAACAACTCCTTAAAATTCTCCCAAATTTCACCTTTATGCTAAAACTTTACATTTCTGGTCTTAACCCATGTTTCGTCTGCTTACCTGGGAAAGAAGAAAGTTATCTGAGAGTTTAGTCAGCTGGCAGAACAGAGAGTAAAATACATGCTGGGTTTCCATAAGAATGAATAATCATAAGGATTTTTTTCTGTAGTATTGTCTTGCTATAACTACAAATATCACTGAGGTACAGTAGAATTTATACAAATGTCTCAGAAACACACAAAGATTTTGATATCTCCAAAGTATAATTGAAACAAACTTCCTTCAGGCACTTCAAGGATTGTACTGCGTCAGCTTCATCTGCAAAGTCACTACAAGTGGGTATGGAGAGCCTTCAGAAAGGCACCTTTCTGAAAAATACCCCTTGAGAAATGTATGTCTTGACAAATTCCCACAGAGAGTGACTTGGCCAGAACTGAAGGTCCCTGCATAAAACAAGGGATATATTCAGATGACCTTTTCTGAAACACCTGAGGCCATTGCTGCCATAGAACTGGTTTTAGGGCTATGAGTCCCAGATGAAAAACACCACAGTGGCAGATATTCGCTGAAGCTGACATTTGTTCCTAAAACACTGAGAGGTGAATTTCATATTCGCAGCCTTCCTGCCAGATCAGGTATCCTTTCAGCAAAAATAATCCAAGGTGTTTTCTGGATTAACAGGAATTTGAATTGGGGACTTAAGTCTGACCTAGACTTGACAATATTGCAGCACTCCTGCTATCAGTCCATGGAGTTAACAGCACCATAAATGCTCTCTCTAATGCAGACAGTACACACCAGTACCAGCACTGATACTCTTCTCTACTACCATCCTCACTGTCCGAGACTAAGGTTTGCAAACACAAAGCAAGAGAGAATAGGACTCTTCCCACATACAGGCTGTTAAAACAGACTTGCTGAGATAGAGGGAGGAGGTGAAGAACCTTGTGAGGAGAAACAGAGAAGCTACCAGAAAGCAACAACCTCATGTTGTATCCTGTGATAATGGGAAATTATTATCAACCCCCTCAAAAAATTGACTTGCAAATACACTGACAGGGAGCAGGAATAGTTAAAACTGCACGTTTCCTTGAAAGGGAAGCATTATCTCTGTTCAAAGTGCTTTGTGGGCCAGACTCAGTGTTCTCTCAACAGTGGTTATTTGGGAGTACCTTTTGAAAGCAAGGCTCTTGAGCCACAGCCAGGTTCTCCACTGCTGCCATTCAGCAAAATCACACTTCAACGACTGATGCCAGCTGAGAGCTCAGCTTCACACAGGCAGGGAAAAAAATCCTAAGTGCCCAGCAGAAAGTCCCAAAGTTGTCTGCTGTCTTTTGGAGGGAGGAAACACGGGTTTGTGCTACACATGTTACAGACTATTGTTTAGCAGCCCTTGTGCTTAAATTAGGCACATTTAATTAAACGCAACTGTGTGGAGGCAGGAAAAAGCTGGTTTAGACAAGTTCAGAAAGTGAAAATCTGAGCTTTGTACCCACCGTCCCGAAAGGAAGAGAAAGAAATCCCATCCTAAGACAACTGGATGCCTTCGTAGCTCGCCAGCACACGTTTTCGGCAGACTTTTGACAGAGCTTTGCAAGTGCCGTACCTTCTCCCTCAGAACCGCGCTCGCCAAGCCCCGCGA